TCACAGTTATTTCAAAATTCGAAAAAGGGACATAACCTTACATTCAGCTATAATATATACATGAAGGTCTCCAAATATTTTGTTTTGGGTGTCAATTTGGGTTGATTAGAGTGAAATGTTAGGTGTTGAAAATATCAATATTGCATTTAATGAATTTTCTGCATACCATAGGAGCAAATGATGACTGGATCTTGCACCCTTTATAGTGAGAAAAATGCATGTTTCTTCATGTTCTTCAGTTTGATGAAAAACAGTTGGTTTTCATGACAATTCAAATTACGTTTGATTAAAATAACTTTTAGGTTCTTAAGGTCAAGTTAAGCTTGATTACAATTTTATTCATATATTTCCCGTTTTGTGATTTGTGTTTAAACTTAATTTTTTTGATCTGAATTAATGATAACATCTCAGTATTTAACATGTACTTCGTCCATATTAATGACTTATCAACACACACGTAATGTGCTATTGTTGGCGTCTGCTTGTTGAGTTAACGTCTGCTCTTGAGACTGTGCAGCAGGAACTGACTTGTACTGGGCGTCAGGTGAAGGGCAGTCTGCTGTGTGGGGGCTGGATGTATGGCAGAACTAGCCTGATAACTACTGAGCACTTGACTCCGACAGTAACGGGACTGACGTTGATAACCTCTGCCGTGATGCAATATGGTGGCAGAATAAGTGTGTGTGGCCTGTGTATCAGATTGATAAGCCTAATTGCATGGTCAAAGCGGTCATGTTCTTTTTCTCAAAAATATTTGGGGATACTGTTTCAATGAAACATGCAGTTGAATTAAAATTTTATCGTGTAAAATAAATTTTTATAACAGTGATGTTTTGTCATGAATCCAGAATTAATGCTTCTGTTATTGATGACAAATACACCCTTTTAAAATGCGCCACCTCCATTTTTGTTTCGATGCTGTTTAAATGTAGGTAAGATTTGTCTGTGACAAAGCCATTAAGGTAAAACCAAAAGTCCCCTGTTCAAGTGTATTGTTCCTCCATTGAAGGATCTGTCTGGAACTCGAAGAGGAAATACATGAAAAAGCAGAATTTACTTCCTTGTATGGTCTAAATTATTTTTCAAGGACTTTTTATGTCCTGGCTCTCTGAAATGCTAAAAATGTCTCACACTCAAAAATAAACTAAAGCTCCTCAAGCTTTCCGAGACATTGTTTGAATCAGGGATTCGATTTTGTTGTTTTGAGGAGGAAACAATTACAGCTACTTAGGAAATACTTAAAATATCATTTGCAGGATCTGGAATTTAGAATTACACCAATTTGGAATTTGATTGAAGGAATATATGTGGTTTAGGATTGGTTTCTAAGTTTTCAGTCATGCAAACTTTGGTACATAAATGATATTGACATTATCAGGTTATAACATAGTATATCTTATGGCCAAGACCGGATTTGTTGCATGTATGGCAGTATATGTTGATACATATACATGTATAAATTACTTAGCAATACAGTAAGTCATGGTTGTAATGAACTCGGAGGGAATGCTGATTTTAGTTTGTTATAACCATATTATAATGTACTGCAAGTGGCAAAGACAAAACTGAATTTGTAATTTCCATCTGTTTGTTATAAACATTGTTTATTTTACTTATTTAAATTACATAGAAAGGTAATGAATGTTGTACATATGCTATAAACAGAAAAGATGTGACAGAGACAGAGGTCATATGATATGAACATGACATGAGCCTTGAAGGATATGAAAGTTTATACTCATGGAAACGAATAAGGGAACACCTGAAAGTACAAGTGTTCCTTTATTCTTTTCCAGGTTTCTTCACTAGCTTGGTATTGCACTGTGGGTGAAATTCTGGAAAAGAATAAAGGAACACTTGTACTTTCAGGTGTTCCCTTATTCGTTTCCATGAGTATATATATTGAAAAGGATCTGCACAACACATGATATAGTCAAAAAAGATATGACAGAGACAGTAGAAATATGATATGAACGTGATATATTGGACATTGATGTACATGTCAGGGATAAATATACATTGGAAAAGGATGTTATACACATGGTATAGACAGTTAGATATGACAGGGACAGAAGCAGTATGTTTGGAACATGTTATAGACATTGAAGGATATGACAGGGTTATATGGTGGAAAAGGATGTGATAAGTAGAGGTGTGACGATACAGAAATTTTTGGAATGAATATCTTGGAATGATACGATTCGATTCGATGCATATCACGATATGCTTTCTTTAGTTATTTTCTTTAAAAAATCATATTTTAATAGCAAGAAAAAATGTATCGATATATTTATCGTTAGATAAAGTATCACGATTATTATTGATACTACGATATATCGTCACAGCCCTAGTGATAAGCACATGATACGTATGTGAAAGCTTTGGATAGCGATATACCAGTAAAGGATATGATTAACACATGAAATGGACTTGTGACAATGATTCACAGGTATGAGACATGATGACTAATAGCCACAAATAGAAATACTAAAAGTGAAGTCCACATCATTCAGTTTTGACCATACAACTCAATAGGCATTATGGATATAGTAACATAACAGTGTATGCTAGATTGTAAAACTTAGTAATTCCTTGATGAAAATCTGTATACCTGCGTGATTTAGACAAGAAAAATGTAAAAGAATTTAAATAAGTATTGAATTTTTAAAAGCATCTATGAAAATGTGCTTAATGGTTTCTGCTTTTAACAAATATAACCCTGTATACCTGGGTGATTTAAACAAGAAAAATGTGAAAGAAATAACGTAAATATTGAATTATTAACAGTATCTTTAATAAAGTGCTTAATAGTTTCTGCTTTTAACAAATATAACCCCAAATAATCAAAATATTCAAAGTAAGATAGTCATTTTGTATTGTGTGGTATAAAAGATTCACTGCATTGACCTTAGTGCAATGTTCAATAGCTGTAGTACATGTCAAGCAGGATGGCAGCGAAGGTGTGTAGGAGTAATTCCTTCTCTGGGTGTAATTTGTAACTATTTGTTTTATGGGATGTGAAAAACATTTCATCATACCATATCATATCTCTCAAGTACATTGCAGTCCTCAGGTGTAATGCGTAACATATATTCATCAATCCACACACTGTCCTGTAGTGTAAGAGCAGATAATAGATGATTGAACTGGCAAATTTCCTCTTGGCAGTGTGGGTTCAATGACTTGTGACAATAACACATTATGTCCCCCGCATCTCAATAAATGGATTCCCTGTCTTTGAACACTCCCACCTTCCTAGGAAGATGAGGATGATGAGATGAAATAGAAACAAGTGTTTGTCCGAGGTAAGTCCATTGCTCTACCTCTGTGTTGCACTCAGTTGCCACCATTAGCAGGGACTGATAAAGACAGCCACTGACCGGGCGGCTCAAAGGTACAGCCTTAGAGGAAGAAGTGCTCTTCATCAGTAATTGTGGTGGTTGAGGAAGACTAGGATGTGGTCTTAGAATGGGATGATCGTCTGTTAGATGAAACCTGTTTGTATTTGTGAGGTATAGGGGAAGCTACAGATGTATGTTCAAACTGTCTCGTATTTTCTGATGGTAGTGATGGATGAAACCTTGTTGGGAGAGACTCTTCTTTGTCCAGGTGTTATTGTGACTTCGTAATAGAATGTGTATGAATGAATACATCACTGGACTTGGACTTTACCTGTTTTAATCTCTTTGGAATATCATTATTACATCAATATTTGAATTATCCGGAGATATGTAACGTTGTGCTGACGAACAACGTACACACTGTTTACTTAGTGCTTACTTCAAAGCTGACCGTATACAGGGACAAATCCTGTTACCTACAAATTGGCAAAGCTTGGAAATAATAACTGGTGGCATGAGTGAGTATGAAGAAAGAATCCTTCTTTGCATACTCTTGCTAAGATATCAGCAGTTTTGTTCTTCTGTGCTATTTGGACTGCATCCATTTATTTCCCCCCAGTCAATGACCGATTGCTGACATGGTTTGTGATTTGGACCAACCTACAGAAGAACTGATTCAGACAGATAATCCTGTGATAAAACAATAGGTAACAGAGATGAACACTAACACACTCTGTGATTACTGCCCAGCATCTGTCTGCTGCATCAAAGTGCTTCTATCAGCTCTGTGATACGGAAATGAAAGGTGTGCTCTGATCCTGAACAACTTGCATTTGTGTGTAGTTCCACAGTAGGAAGCTCTTCAGCAATGTTGGGAAGTGTAGGGAGCTGGCACAGCGGTGCTTTCCTTAAGCTTGTCACTGCAGTAAGTGCATGAACTTCGCTACAGTGCTGTTTTCTAATGTCATATTTTTCTGGTTCTCTTAATTGAATTCCTGTGCGGCTATTTGTGTTGATGATTACTTCTGACATGATAAGATATGATGATCAAAATAGTGTCACTGCTACTTTTTGATGAAACATGTTTCTTACTATCACCCACTTTTTATGACAACAGGCCTGAAGGAAAATCTGATTTTGTATTCTGGTACAGCTTCAGCTACCACTGCTGGTCAGAAGAGGTGACTAAATTTATCAGGTGTTCATGCTCAGTGACTTAGAGGGTTGTGTAGGACTTTGCTCATAATGTCAGTCACTGGTTTGAAAGGTCTGATTATATACTGGTTGCTATGATACAGCTGGCATATTGCTTTGTGTGACCGTAATCGGCAAACAGGTTGAAACATTTGGATCATGTGCTAATGTTGTTGAAGTTTTAACAATGTGTTTATGTATCATTTTCTCATTTAAGTATATTGAAATGCTAGTCCTCTCATAGTGTCATCATTAAACTTTTCAGAGTTGTCTCCCTCAGTTTTGCCCGGATCTGCTGGTTACAGATTAATGATATGCATTGATTATGATATTTAAGCAGAAGATTGATTAACAACCGCAACTTGCACACTTTTTAGGTTCCTCTGTGATAGAACTGAAATACTTTTCAAGCAAAAATGAAACCCTGACAGTTTTGTGATATAAACTTATCCTTTTTCTTTCCAGAACATGGTGAAGGGAGCTGATCACGAGAGAAGGTAAGAATGAATGTTTTATATACTTTTTACAATCTGTTTCAACAAATAATCAAGACTGATTATTCTCTGGCAATGATGTTTCATATTTGATTAATATTTATAAACTTACGTCTTTATCATAATGTTTCATGCTGAAAAGAGACATTCAAGGAGACCCTTCAGCTGTGTGTGGTCTTGTGTTGACCTTTAAGGAAAACAGTCGGGCTAATTGAACAGGTGCTGTTATTCCAAACAGAAATGAAGGACAATTATTCTGTGATTTTTTCATGTCAGAATTCTTTTTAAGAGTGATAGGAGTAATTAAATCCTTTTTAACAAACAAAACCACTTCATCCACCAAGAAGTCAAACAATCTGTGTTATGTTAAGGAGATAAAGACATTTGTAATTAGGACACTAATGATCATTATACAGGTAAGTTACCTGTAAAGGATCGCAACAGACTTCATTTACACCAGCCAGTCTACTTAGCTCTGTTTGTTGCTAATGAGGTTTGGAGGTATTTGTGGCTTGAATCCTGTTAAACAGTCATCTTCTATCTTGTGATCACGTTACGAAGTTGACTGTTTCATCGCAACTTTCATCATCTGTCATGATGTATTGCAGTGGGGCAGGTCTTGCATCTTAATGAAGGCTAACATGAAAGTGATATCACATTTCATGAACTATTTCCCACACTGTGATATCTCAGAGTATGTGAACAGTCCCCTGATAAAAATAGTTTTGTCCCTTTTGAAATACAGATGTTTTAAATCATCTTTGAAGGTTAGTATTTACATTTTTAAATCATCAAGGTAATTTTGTGCTAATAAAACCAAAACCATCCTGTAGCTTGTTTTAAGAATCTCAATTTGCCATGTATCATTATGACCCGTACTATCTAAAGGTTACCTATCTGTCACACCAGTTAATTTTCTTCCCTGATAATTGATCTTTATTATGATTGCAGTCTGGTAGATTAATTTGAAACTTGCGTAATGCAACTAGAAAATATCAACTTTGTCTTATTTATGGGTTGCTATGGCAATGGGAATTACATGGAAGTGCTTGGAACAAGAAAAAGATGTAAACAAAAATACACCGGAAAGGCTTGTATCTCAATATGGGTTTTTATTATCATGCCGGAAATTGAATTGAAATGAAGATTGTTTTTATGCTTGATTACGATATTTACAGCCTACAGAATGCTTTATTGTTATCCGTATATATTACAGATGAAATTACCAAGTCCAAGGAAGTTTTCAGGATGTTTGATTCAATGATTGCATTTTGATTTCATCAGTAAAACAAAAATGCTTCAGAGAAGATAAATCTCCAGCTGTGTAATATGTTTTCTAAACTAACTTAACATACAATGTGGTATTATACAAGTCACCAGCAGCAGAAAAGGATTATTTTCTATGTTCCCAGGGAGGGACATGGGAGGCCCAGCAATCTAAGATACCACAATGAGCTGTACAGGTGTCCCTAAGACCTTTGGCAGGAACATGAGTTTGAATCCAAGATCATTTCAGTTTTTGGGTCAGCACGAATGCTTGTGATTTTCTCCAAAGCATGAGCATTTGATACTCTGTTTGGGCATGGGATCTTTTAAAATTAAAATTTAAAAAATTAGGAGGAAAAAATTCTCTTATTATACATAAATTAAATTTTTAGAAAAGAATTCATGTCAGTGGACAGTCCTGAAAACAATGTCTGTGCAAAGACATTCAGACGTGCGCACGCACACGCACACACACACACACACACACACACACACACATTTACTAGTATTCAGTTTTCTCTCGTGCCATGTTGTAGTCAACTATTCTCAGTCCATGATCGGTCATGATTGAGAAGAAACCAAGCCTTGCACCCAACAATTACTGATCTACTTTCTGTTATGTGCTGGAACGTGTCTTTGAAGTTGTTATCTTAATGGGGGCAAGCCCATTCATCACAACCTGATATACAGCCCCTGAGTGATAAATATATTATATATCACACACTCTCTGGTGAAGATTAGTATTATTAGGAGTCTGTGCGCATGTTGTCCAACTCTGAGATTGTATCTGTCGATTTGGTCTGATTAAATATACTTTGTAGTTAATCTGTAAAGGTTGAGATGTATTTTCATTTTCTGATTGTACAAACTGTTTTTTAACTGTAGTTAATATTGGGTTTATTTCGTGGGTTCAGGGCAGCAAGGTACCAAGTGCACTTTGGGACTTTTTCACTTTTATAGATTATTGATCACTGTGATGTCATTGATATTCTGTAAATTAGCCACTAAGGGTCCTATGTTGCTGTTGAGGTTTCTACACATGGCACTGCTGTGAAGTACTATTTCATGATAAAATACTAGAATTGACAGTTTACTTGATACACCCATCTTAGGGAAGGGAACCTAAGCTTGGCATGGTTGTAGACCTATTCATACGTGGACAACGATTTGAGGAACACATGGACAAAGTAAAAGTATGTGTTATTCACTGACGTTTTAAAAAGAAAACAAACATTTATATCTTGTTAATTATGGAGCCATTTTGTGTGTAAATATTCATAAAATTGTATGACAAGAGACATTATTTACTTCATCAATGGTAAATTAGTGCTATTTATCTCTTTTTATCGTACAAAAATAGCATTTTCTCTATGTAAACCTGCCATGTGTCAAACAGTCATTGTTGATCAATACAAAAAAACTTAAATGTCCTGTAGTGTTTGTTTGTGTTGTTTAAAAGTTAGCAGAGCATTGGTGGCATTTCGTTTGGACGCTAGTTTACTTTTTAAGCTGTCAATATGTGGAACTAGACATAGCACAGAGTAAAGATAGCTGCCGCAATCTTGCCTATATTGCTGTGCCCGGTGAGGAACATTATCAGGGCATAGTTCCTTTGAAAGCAACACCTGCAACACCAGAGAAGACCATGGAAACTCAAGGGGACACATGTACAGTCTCAGCATCTACATTAGTGCCATCCCCAGTTGTAGCTCCTCACAAAAGGGCAGACTACAGAAGCCCCAAGAAAAGGCCTTCAAGTAGGAAGAAGCTCAAAGCTCAAGAACTATGGAAGAAAAATATCAGAAAGGCAAAGCGCTGCAGAGGGGAAACCTATGTATCCTGTAGAAGGAAACTTGTAGAAGAAAACCACGGGCAAGATATCAATTGTGATAGGTGCCGTTTTGGATGCTCCAAAACATAGATATCTGCGAACAAGGCAGGCAATCTTTGAGAATTATTACCAACTACCATCCTATGAAAGGCAAAGAAGCTTTGTGTGTCAGCTGGTGGATTCTGTGTCACCAGTAAGATCAAAGGGGAAGAAAACAACTCTCGACAGTATCATTTTGTCTATGAGGGGAAGAAAATGTGTGTGTGCCGGGACTTTTTCTTGCAACACTCAATATTTGGAGGAAGGTTGTGGATCATGCATTGAAAATGAAATAACATGGTGTGTTTACAGCCGAAGACAGAAGAGGTGTCACTGCATCTGGCAACAAAATTGACCTTGAAACAATTAATAACATAATCTCCTTTCCACAAATGGAATCACACTATCTTGCCGGAAGGACACTGTGAAGAAATACCTCTCATGGGACTTAGATATAAAGAAAAGTATATGCTTTACAAGCAAATATGTCAAGAATCAGGTTCAAACTATGTCAAAGAGAGCAAGTATAGGGAAAGCTTCTGTACAGAATACAATATTTGATTCTTTAAACCGAAAAAGGATCAATGTTCAAAATGCAGTCTGTACGAGGCAAAGAAATTGGTTGGTACCATTGACAGCGAAATTATCAGTAAGTATGAGGAACATCAGAAGGAGAAGGTAGAAACCAGAAATGAAAAGGAACGAGACAAAGCCGATGCCAAATTAAATAAAGCTCACTATGTGGCAACGTTTGACTTGCAAGCTGTTCTAAATACTCCATGCAGTCTTGTTGGGGAGCTGTATTATCCAAAAAATTGTCTGTCTATAACCTTTCCTTCTACTCTCTTGGGGACCAACTAGGAACATGTCAGCTCGAAGGTCTGTTTTGTCATATTGTGCCCAATATTTTACATCTCAATGAATTGATGTATGATAACAACTGAGATATGTAATAGATAAAACAACAAATCACACATTTCCACCAAACAGATATAAGGTTAACAAGTTACAGTTGACAATACAATATTATTTTCTAGACAAACATATTTCATTAACATCACCAGCAGCAGTTTGCTAAGTGTCAAATGTCCATATTATATAGATAAAAAGTCAAATGCTTAAGTAACAATGAATCTTGTGTCATTAGGTACTCCTTAAATCAAACTTTGTGGTACAAATGCTACGGACAACAAAGTACCAAGTGCCACTTGGCACACTGCAACACTATCTTTACTGTGAAATGTTCGTGCAGCAAAGAACCAAGTGCCACTTGGTACATTGCAACCCTGTAATGACTGTATATATGTTTGGGGCAGCAAGGTACCATGTGCCACTTGGTCCTTTGCAGCTCTGTAACTTACGTGAACATTGGTCAAAATGTTGGGGCAGCAAGGTACCAAGTGCCACTTGGTACCTTGCTGTCCGGAATGTTTGAACAAATTCTCTTCATTCAAAAGGTACCATCTACAATAATTGATGTAATTAAGAAATTAAGGCTTCATTAGGAATGGCATCAGAGCATTTGATACATGCTCACCACCTCTATTTAACATGTATGTATTGGTTAAGCTAAGATATGCAGTGCAACAGATATGAGCATTGAAAAATTCAAATGCGATTTTCTCGGAATGATGAAATGTGCACTTGGTACCTTGCTGCTCCAAACCCTCGATTTATATAGTTCATTGATTAATCCCTGTGTCAAACAATGATGTCTGTTTATGCCAGTAATCAATTAATCACTGCTGAGATAAGGTTAATGGCATGTTTAATGATTGCCTGAGTCAAGTAATTGATTGTTCATAGATTAAGTGGATTTTGTTCCAGTCAATGATTTCAACTCTAAGAAGATATCAGCATCATTATA